ACAATGATGTCGTGTCGTCCCCATCAACGTATGACCTAACTTTCCCATGGCAGGAAAATTGGAGAAGCTGATGTTGGCTAACAGGGCACATGATGAATTGCTTCCATTCCATGCCCTTGAATCATTGGGAGGTCTGGTTTGGTTTCATTGATAAAATTGTCACATTACGTTGAATTGCACCCTTTTCAATTGCTTGGATGATTATGCATTTTGAAATAAGGATCTCTTGAGAACACATCGCCCCGCCATTGTCGTCGCTAGTCTCCGCGCAAGTGTCGACCATCGTGGCAGCCACGATCTCTCGTTGTCACGCCTCCATCGACAGATGTTGCCGACCCCTCATCGACTCGACTCGACTCGACTCGACTGATCTACTACACCACAGGATAGGCACGGGATGGGAGTTAGATTCCCCATCCCCACCCCATTAAGCAAGGATCTGCCCCGCCGCCGCCGCCGCCGCCGCATGTCCTTTGTGGGGCTGGGTGAGGCAGCCATCAAGAGGCAACGGTCCCTCTGAGGCACTGCGCTAGACACAAAAACCTCTTAAAGAGAATTTAAAAACGAGTTGCACTTGTGAAATTTTATAGAGATGGGCATGCTTCAATCTTTACAAATTAGTCAATATTGAACAAAGTGAAGGAGAAACACATGTTAAAAGTACTTGTTCCACATTGTTTATCTAGGGAGCTTTCCATGCTTACATCTCGTATAAAAGTGAGACTTGCAAGTAAGAATATCTCAGAAGTTTAGTCTCGCATTATTTTAGTGTTGAAAGTTATAAGCTAGCCTCACTTCAAAAAGACAAAACTTCTCTCAATGCCTAACACTTGATGATGGGCTTTTATTCTATCGAAGTTCATTGGATGAGTTGGAACGTTTTAAATAAATAAACGTAATTAACAATGTAATAAATATAAATAACTATGTTTGAAAGTGCAAGTTTCAAATAAATAAAAAAGTAATATAAGACAACTAATTTCTCTTTTATGTATATTTCTTGGCGGGGCGGATCGGCGGGTCGGGGTGGGGTCAAGGAATTCTATTCCATGAGTGGTCCAAATTCAATCTGTAGTTTTTCTCTAAACATGAAAGTTCAAGGAGTTGGAATCTTATTACCCAATAAATTCAATTCCACAGCCAACCAAACGAGACTTGAGAGTTTCGCATTAATTTCATACGAATCAAAAACCACATCAAGACCATCATTGAAAATAGTGCTCATAATAGCGAAAGGTTTCGTAGATCAAGAATGAAGTGGAAAATAATTAATATCAGTGCCATCGTCATAGCAGCGGTATATTAAATCGTGTTTTCATCTAACTACTTAAACATTCTAAGTGGTGGATAGTATGGTCACTTAAAGATATGCAGACCACACTTTTATCTAACCGAACACTTCGATAGTGATTTCATGGTTCTTCGAAATTCTACGGTAATCAATGCAGAAATTAGCGAGCAACAATCATGATCGGAACCCTCATTTTGGCAAATGTTGTTTGGACGCATTTCTAAGTGAGGAGAGAATATAATTGTAATGAACTTAAGCAGTCAAATTAACAGTGGAACAAATTAAAATACCCTAAGCACAACATTACAAATATTTTTATCTACACATTTTTTCTTGATGAAGTTACCAAATCGATAGAGAAAAGTAATATTAAAGTAGAGAGGATTTTTACTACCAATGACATATATGTAATTTTCATGTTAAAGTAGAAGAGAGAGTAATGCTGCTAATAATATACATGTAGTTTCTATCGTAATTATGTATGTCCTAAATTCTCGTTATATATTGGGGCAATATCTTTTGTAGTTGTAATCTTGAAACTTTTAACTCTGAAAACTGATACTGATGTTGATAGTGAAGAGATTGCCAAGTATGGTATTGTGGTTTTCCCTTTCTAATTTGAAAGGTTTTTTCACGTAAAAATTCGTATATCTTCTTCTCTATTTTTTCTCTTCAATGATGCGCGTTCTTAGCATTTCTCTCCTCTCTCTATAGCCTACACTTCCACTTCCTTTCCTCATCGTCGATTCCATCATCCCAATTGTTGCGGCCTCCACCTCTCTCCATTGTCACTAGCCTCAGGAATGAAGCAAATAAAAAGAGAGAACGAGCTTGATAGTCATAGGGGAGGGAGAAAGAGGTTGTGGTTAGTGACGACCGGGCCGTGACACCATGGTTGGTAAGTGGCAATGACGGCAAAGGTGGACAAGGAAGAGCTACTCGGAGAAAGGAGGAAAAAAAAGAAGACGAAATACTAAAAAAAAAACGCTTAATTTTGGTGGACTGATATATAAATTTACCCTCCATTTAGATGATCATGATCTTAATATGACCAGGCATGAGAAATTGATCTTCCTATATGATTGTTAATCATCCTACAAGTTCATTAGAAAACGACTCTAATTGTTGGCTTCAAGCTTTATACAGAGAATCAGCAGAATTCTCAACATATCTCTAATATAGGAAATTATTCTACAGAAATCCCTAATTATCTATAACATTCCCTTCAAACTCAAGGTGATTAAGTCAGCTTGAGTTTGGAATCGAGTCAAATAGTGTCCAATGGCTAAGCCTTGGCGGATGAGACGGCGTTCGGCAGCTGTTCATGGCTAAACTTCCAAATCTAGCTGACCTGAGAGTGGCGAGTCTAGTGATGGTGTTGACTTCTCGAAACAACATGCGAAACGTTGAGAATCAGAGGGGAAACAGCAAGCGGCTAGCTTCGAAATAGTAACTAAGCGACGCGGCCTATACGATTAGGTAGCATCAAGCGACTTATGTGACTGGCTTGGGAAAATAGTTATTGAGTGATTCGAAAGAGAAGCCACCTCCGTGAAAAAGGTTCGACTTGGTGATACGACCGCTACAATTGGCATTGAAGCACGACCATCGTGGATTGGGCTCGACTAAGTGTTTTCTCACATAAGAGTTGTGCACATGGAGTGAACACTGTTGAGCGGCGGGGATGGATTTATTTGGGTGTCCGCTCGAGGTGCACTTGGGGTTTGTTCAAGAACTGTGGCTTTGATACCATATGAGATTTTGTAAAATCACTACCAACTGTTCTAAAATCTTTTATAGTATCAGAGTAGGAGATCCCGAGTTCAAATATTTCCATACCCCTATTTGTCTCTCTAATTGCATATTTCCACGCTTTAGGCTCTGGCCAAAGTCCCCCTACGCTTGAAGAGAGTATTAGAATATTCAAATATTAAATCATGCTTTCATCTAACAGCTTAAATTTTTTAAATTGGAATTTCTAACATCTTTAGTGGATATACTTTCAAGTGATAACTCTCTTCTAATCACAATATCGATGCAACTAGACTTGAATGAAAATTAGGGATGTAATTCTTCCATTTAGAAATATAATCTTCCACCAACATTGAATGATATGACTCTGGCATGATATCAAAGCGGAAAAGATGACTCGATGTGTTACTTATCGCGAGAAACAAAAAATGTAGAAAGTTATGTGGTAACTATCTTCTTTATGGGAAAGTTATGTGGTACTTAACACAAACACAAGGCCATAAAAACTCCCATCTCGTTTGGGTTAGAGCCGAGTCCACTTGGACAACACGAGCTGGGATGGCATGGCAAGAAGAGTCGTGCTATGCACAAGATTGTAGGAAGGGATTGCTAGAAACTCTCTAAAGAGATGGTGTTCCTTGTGGGTTGAGGAAAGGCAAGATAGTGAGAGAGAGAGTTTAAAGGCAAAGGCCCGTCTGGTCATCTATCCAATAACATGTGCATTCATTAATCAAATGTGGGTGAATGAAATGGAAAGCAAAGGCAAACCCCAAAAGGGACTCAAAGAAAAGCATGATTCCTGTTCCTTCCCAGAGACGAGTCGCTTTCTAGCCCACCTCCTCTCTCTCTCTCTCTCTCTCTCTCTCCTCTCTCTCTCTCTCTCTCTCTCTGCATGCATTGGCACCATTTGCTTAACACTCATCTCTCCCCCTTAATTTCTCATTAATTATGTGCTTTTTCTCTATTTGGGTAATCACTAGTTTCTCCAAAATGGCAAAATAGTCAGAGACCCTCATTAATTACATGCTCTTCTCTATTGCTGTCATGTTCAATCACAAGAAATAATTTTTTTTTCTGCATCTTTACGATAAAGTGTTATTCCTCTTATGAATGGAATTCGGAAGACCTGACGTTGATTACTGACCTGGCAAGTAATGACCCCGTAATGAAACTAAAGCAAAGCTATTAAACAAACACTGTTATGTTTTTCCCCCTTATTAAGAAGGGATGATTCTCGATTCAATTAATCACGTCACGAGGAAGTCAATGTTCGCCAATCTCCTATCACTAGATAAATAGTGAAGAGTTCATGAGACCATAGATTTTATTAGAATCTAACGTAACATATCAATCAAGCATATACACAATCAAAAGGAGATATGTGCGCAATACTGAGATATGCGAAAAATTAAGAGAAATATCATAATAATTTTTAACGGAGGAAAATATCCTAGAGAAATATCTCTAATGTCACCAATACGAATGACCTTCGATTTGATCGGATTAAAAGACTAACTTAATCTCGTGCGCTTATTTTTTCCTCGTAAAATGAATCAATCTCAAATGTGAAAGCAGATCTAAGATATAGCATCGAGGAACGCTGTAGATAAAATTTGTAACCCAAAGAGAATGTATCGAGCAACAACACCTCCACTCCAATTGCACAAATTTTTTCCAATTGGAGTTTAATCTATCTCAATTTACCATGTGCTTTAGTATAGTGACTTCATTTACTTCATGTGGACATGGCAATAATCTTTAGGATCATTCCACTACACCAGCAGGGTCATAGCCATATAGGCCACTGTGCAATCTATGGAGAGAGAGACAGAGAGGGGGAGAGAATCTGAGGTGTGTTGCCAGCTATGAAGTTGAAGGATCAAAGCTTCCTCTGAAGGTCAAAGCTGGCATTTTCTCTCTCTATCTCCCCCTCTTATTTTTACTCTCCAAAAATCTCTTCAAGCCCAATTTAAATCCCTCCCATTTCCATTCCATTCTCTCTCACTCTCTCTCCACCACCACCACCAACTCCTTCCCATTTTCCCTCTCTTCTCATTTATTCCCTCCACTCTCCATTTCTCTCCTCCCCCTTTATTATTGCCCCTCACGGGGATGTGTTGGGGCCTCTGAGAGGGACAGAGAGGAGAGGGAGAGAAGAAGAAGGAGAAGCAGAGGAATCCATGGTTGATTGTTCTGCAGTAGCAAGAACAAGAACAAGAAACCACATTGCATCAACCCCAGCAAGAACCAGGACCAGGACCGGAACGACCATGGCCTCTTCTTCTCCCTGTCTGACTGGTGGCGAGAAAAAGCACTGGTGGCTCACCAACCGAAAGGTATTTGCCCGAAACAGAGCTTTCTCTGACCGTCTAATCTCGACCCTGAATCGCTCGTTGCGTACATCAATGAGATTAGTCTGAGGTCGAGAGTCTCAAAAATCGCATCTCTGCGCGGTGTGTTCTTGTCGAATCTCGACCTCGCTCCGTCTCTTCTGCTTCTTCTTTCTCATCCTTCCTCTGTATCTGCATTCTGATCTTTACTTGGGTTACGTACTTCGATCGATTCTTTTAACGGTTCGTTCGGGTCATTGATGGTTCTCGTCGTCACGCATTGATTGTTCGGTGTCTCGCAGGCTGTGGGAAAGTACATCAAGGACGCTAAGAACCTGATGGCGAGCCAAGAGCCGAGCGAGATCGCGTCGGCGCTGAGCCTCCTCGACTCGGCCCTCGCCCTGTCGCCTCGGCTCGAGCTCGCCCTCGAGCTCAGGGCGCGGTGCCTCCTCCAGCTCCGGCGGTTCAAGGAGGTCGCCGACATGCTCCAGGACTACATCCCCAGCCTCAAGCTGGCCAGCGACGACACCACCTCGTCGTCCTCCACCACCTCCTCGTCGTCGTCGTCGTCGTCGGACGGGTCGTCGCAGCAGCTGTCGAGGGAGCGGGTCAAGCTGCTCTCCTCCCCCGGGTCGCCGGGCCGAGATCCGGCCTTCAAGTGCTTCTCCGTGTCGGACCTGAAGAAGAAGGTGATGGCCGGGCTTTGCAAGAACTGCGACAAGCAAGGGCAGTGGAGGTAATTTCGCGCGGCTAACTGGTTCATTGAGATTTGCTTCCTTTAATTATTTTAATTTTTTGTGGATTTTTTTTCCTTTTTATTTTCTGGGTCATCATTATTATGAAGGAATGGTCATTTTTTTGGGGGTTCAACTTTTGATGACCTCAGGTTTGGGAACATCATTTCCATTCTTACCCTCTTTTTCATGCGTCTTGAGTAAATCCGGCAATTAAGGATCTGTTCTTAATTTGACCCAAAAATAATTATTTAGGGGCCTACTTTGTGTTCATTTTTTTGGGATTTTTTCACCCTTAAGTTTCCTCCATTAGAGCATCGATCTTGTAAATTGCCTTTTGCTTGTGTTACTGTGCATTAAAAAGTGGAAAAATTTTTCCCATAATGACTCCCTACTTTCCTTCATTACTAATCTTTTTTCTCATCTAGGGAAACTATAGGCTTAAGCAGGTTTGCTTAAAAAAAAGTTGCATTAAGAACCGAGACTGATACCCGTCTTTGTTTGGTTCTTTGTTTACTTTAATTGAAGCTTTGTCAGTGGGTAGAACGTGGACTTCTATTAGATGTGTGTGCCAATTGAATAGTGGAAGTCCTTGCGGTGGATGGTGGAACATTTGCATCAAACACGACTCGTTCCCCACTACTTCTAATTCTAGAAGTGTTGAAGATTTGACAGAGTTTTTTGTCTTTAATCTTCAGGTACATGGTTTTGGGCCAGGCGTGTTGCCACTTGGGCCTGATGGAGGACGCCATGGTCCTCCTCCAGACCGGGAAGCGCCTCGCCACGGCGGCCTTCCGCCGCGAGTCCGTCTGCTGGTCCGACGACAGCTTCTCCCTGTCGGACCTCCCGATCCCCGCCGAGATCGCGAGCCCGGGCACCCCGCCCCAGGATGGCGCGGCCTCGTCCGATCCTGAGTCCGTCAACCAGCTACTGAGCCACATCAAGCTCCTCCGCCGACGCCGCGCTGCAGCCCTCGCTGCGCTTGATGCGGGCCTCCACTCCGAGGCCATCCGCCACTTCACCAAAATCGTTGATAGCCGCCGTGGCGCCGCCGCCCCCCAGGGGTTCCTGGCTGAGTGCTATATGCACCGCGCCTCCGCATACCGCTCTGCAGGCCGGGTCGCGGAGTCCATCGCGGACTGCAACAGGACCTTGGCCCTCAACCCGACCTGCATCCAGGCCCTGGAGACCCGAGCCCAGCTCCTGGAGGGAATCCGGTGCATCCCAGATTGCCTCCACGACCTGGAACACCTGAAACTTCTCTACAACACGATCCTGCGCGATCGGAAACTCCCCGGGCCGGCCTGGAAGCGCCACCATGTGCATTACCGCGAAATTCCAGGAAAATTATGTACACTCACGACCAAAATCCAGGAATTGAAGCAACTGGTGGCATCTGGCAAGACTGGGAATGTGGATTACTATGGGCTGATCGGATTGAGGCGCGGGTGCTCGCGGTCTGAATTGGATCGGGCCCACCTGCTGCTCTCCCTGAAGCACAAGCCCGACAAGGCCGTGGGCTTCATCGAGCGGTGTGAGTTCGCGGACGAGCAGGACCTCGAGTCTGTCCGGGACCGTGCGAGGATGTCGGCATTGTTACTGTACCGGTTGATCCAGAAGGGTTATAACAGCATCCTGTCATGCATCCTGGAGGAGGAGGCGGCGGCGGAGAAGCAGCGAAAGCAAGCTGCCGCTGCTGCAATCCAGGCAGCGGCGGCGATGAAGCTCCAGCAGGCGCGGGAGAGCAACAATCCGGAGGAGCCCAAGACGAACCAGGCCCCAAAATCATCCATAGAAAGTGCGAATTCCGCAAGCAATAGGATACCTCCTGGCGAGAACAAGAACGCCACCGCTGCGGCGGGAGCCAACGGGACGATGTTTCAAGGGGTTTTTTGCCGTGATCTCGCAGCGGTCAGTAGCTTGTTGTCTCAGGTTGGGATCAATCGTCCGCTTCCGGTGAAGTACGAGGCCCTGAGTTGCTGATACGTTTTGCTCCTTTAGCTATGAGCTTACGGTCTATATAGGGATTCTTGACCGGCACCTGAAAAAAAGGGGTGGAAGGAAGAAACACCAGACCAGTTTCGTCCATTTGTACAAAGTAAAAAAGGAAGTCGGATCTTGCCGGGAAAAATTTTGTTAGTTTCTGCTATATGAACATCTCATGCATATGTACAGAATTTTTCACTATCGAACTAGTTCCATTTTGAATCTCTCTTCCCCTTCTTGCTTCTAAGTTTAGGATTTGCACTAAAGTTGTAGAAACTAAAATATAATAAGATGGATTGACTAAGTGGGTATCATGCTAATTAAACATGGTAAAGACCAAGCATCCTCATTGGGGGATTCAAACATATGCTTGTCTAAATGAATTAGTAATTTGGGAAATGGGTCATGTTCTATCTATCACTTGAAAAAAAAGAAAATCCAGTGTACTTTTGTGGCAGTAAATTGCAGTTGAAAGTGAGAGAAGGGTCTGATAAATTTACTGTAGAGAGAGATAGAGAGAGGGGTAACGAGGGACTAAGCATTGGGTTCTCTTGCCATGTCTTGTCTGGAAATAATTGATTATTGCTGGGGTTTTGTTCATCCAAAGCACCTGACAATGTCTGACATTCTACTAGATTTCATTTATTTTGCTAGGTTTTCTGCTACGCCCCATGCAAAAAAAAAAAAAAAGGTCCTCGATTAAACCCCCCCTCTTTTTCCACGGAGTACCACCGATCCTAGCTTGAATCTCTCAATTCCTAAGGCGGTCTTACGTTAATTAATGTGATAAACTTTGTCGTATGTTTAAGCATGTCAAATTTAGAATACCCATTCACAATGGGGATTCCATTTGTTCATTGGCGCTTAACTTAGGTTGGATAAATCCACTACAAATCCCAAGGAATAGTGACGTGATTTTGTCAATTCGAGTTACATCCATTTCTTTGATATAATTGTCCATAATTATATTTGGCACGAGAAAACAATAACAGGGTACCGTATATAAATATCCTAAGTGCGAAATAATCCGTCAATGGGGTAACTTCGCATTCTTGTGTACTCGACCTCTTTGAAAACGACAAAAGAAAGAAATTAACGCACGAAAAATTCATAGACCATGGACATCTCATTTCATTACATGCATAGATAAAGACTAATCTTCCTTCGTTTTCAGATCACACGGCACAAGATGATGATATCTCGGTGAAGAGATCGAAGGGCGGAGGACGGTGCTTCGTGGCGGATGGGCATGACTTTGAGTGCACCAACGTGGCCCTCCTCCCAATGGTGTGAAAGAAGGGTTAAAGAAAAGAAAATAATGTGTTAAGCTAAAAAGGACACTGCGAAGTCACCACAGTCCGAAAGTATATGTCAGTCGCTTCGATCTGATAAATTTAGCGAGGGTAAAAGAAAATCACGAAAAGAAAGAAGGAAAGAAATAAAGAAAGGGTCTAATCAAAACACTCAATACGAGAAAAAAAAGAAAACAGGCGGGTATTTCATTAATTGAGAAAAAGGAAGAAGAGAAGAGAAGTTGATTTTTGCCTTCTCGTACTCCACATTTTGCTTCCTCCACTCCCCATCTATATAGAATGATTGATTATTTCCCCGAAAGAGTGATTATTTTGACAGTAAGGGTTTTTCATCAATTAAATGCCCAATTTGTGCTATGTAAAGTTTGAACACACGAGTTATATGTAATGTGTTTTTTTTTAATGACTGTCCATATAAGCTCAATTTTCCAAAAAGTATCATAGACAAACTAAAATCATGCAAATTCATCGAGCAGAAATGACTTTAAGATGATAAATTTAGTCACAACACACAATGTTTTTGAGAACTTTTCCTTAGGACCAAAATGCTTTGCAAAATTCATAACTCTAGCATTTAGAGGGGTTTAATTTCTGCAAAATTATATTATAATGTCAATTCCTGAACCGAGATAAAAAGGCCAATAATGCAGCAAAAAAATAAAGCAAGGAGTCATGAATTGGGTGAAGCTGTATGGACAATGACTAGTAATGGGGGGGGGGGGGGGGGTGGTGAGAGAGTTTGGTTGGAGAATCAAATAATAATTATATGCACTGTATCTGTAGTCCCCAATGGCCATGTTATGGCCCTTACTGCAATCGCATGCATTGCCTCTTTTCAAACCCAACAATGAATTGACACGCTTGGCTCTCATGAAACTTGTTGGCGCATTTATCTTTTGAAGGGTTCACTTCTTGTTGTCGCTTTGCCCAAATTAGGGCGGATGATTCACATGTTGCCTGCGCTCATCAATTGATTTTGACCATTGTTGTTGTGCCATTAAACGAAAAGGACAGCGAGTACATGTGGTTGGGAGGGTTGTAGGAGTTCTTGATATTTGTTGATTAGCATAAGGAAATTAGTTGATTCTAGGAAAATGAACATGAATAAAAGGCTTTGAAAAGTAAGAAGAACGGGCATTCGGATCCGAACTTTTGATGCGAGTCCTTGCTATGCGAGGAGAGATTGCAATGTATATTAATCTTGTACACTTTATAACGACCATAACATGATTTTACTTCGTTCCTTTTCCACTATAATTTGATGGGTTTCATCCAGATAATTTAATTATACAAGGCTCAATTGACATCTCAATAAAGAATGTTTGGTCGCATGATAAAAAATAAGAAAAGGGTAATGCCAAAATTGCAGCAGTCAGGATTAGAGCACTAGATCATGTAAGAATAGGTCAGGTGCCAGTATATGATTATAAGCAACTGTTTAGTAGATATTATCACTCTCGTTTTTCTTCACTTTCATAAAGGGCTTTCCTAACCTACCAATCGTGTTGACCACCCCATAAATATATGCTTATTTTACCGAATTTCACCTAATTTTTTTTCCCTTTTCTTTGCTTGCAAGTTGCATAATCCTCAGTCTTTGAGTCTCGTGACATACTGTTCTGGTTTTGCCCTTCCACGCTACTCCAGCTAATAGCATTTTTCTTTCTTGTCTTTTCGGCTTTCTTTTCATACTAAACCCTAAAAATGTCATCAATACTAGATCTTAGTTCACACCCACAGCTAACCACAACCTCGTTTGCTTTATATGGATAAAGACAGCTGCGATAGCAGAAGTTCCTCTGGTGCAATCATCTCACATCAATCCCATTAACGGAATGAAGCATATTGGATCTATAATTATGATCTTGATTTTATAGAACATTTCTTTCATAAATAACGAAAAAGGAGTCATCTGCCATGTTCTCGAATGATAGCCCACTTCGGTCTATGCTTGTTCTAAGTACAAGTGTTGGGTCTCAGCTCATGCTTCCACTACTCCACTTTATTCTCTAGAAAAATGGATAAATATTGCCAAAAAAATACAACTTCCCCTCAACTTTTTTTTTTTGGCCTACCTAATAATTTCGTGGTAGAAGGAATTATTATGCCACTGGCTCCGCGTGACTCCACATGCACAGCTACTCATTATACTTAAAATGCTCGATTTCAATTAAAAGAAATAGAGGAACTGAAAATGACTTTGAATATACAAAGAATTGGCAAAGTGCGATGGTTAGTATAAAATACATTTTGCGTGGGATGGAGTTGGAAACATGCCATGCACATCTTGGTTTTCCCATTAAATAAATCTCGAAACTGGAGAATTATAGGAGTGGAAGCCAGTCATAATTCAAATTAGTGGGAGGGTGCTTTTGAGTTGCTGCTGGTCTGACAGATGTAAATCTCAATGGGAGAGAAGAAGACCCATTTTCTTATTAGGGTTTAATGTGTGTTTTAACGGAGATTATATGAGTTTCCTAATGTTCTTTCTTTTTCTTTTTTTTCAAGAGTCAGTATTTTATTAACTCGAGGCGAAAGTTTTTTTTTTTGGTCAAAACTTGAGGCGAAAGTTTAGGTGGGGGTTTTTGCACATCTCCTCACGAGGGGCATCGATTTTCATTCCCATTTTTTTTCATTAAATGGTCAGTGTGCTTATGGAGCAATTTTTTCTTTTATATGACTTTTTATTCAAGTCTAACTCACGACCAGCTTGTCTTTCGAAGGGCGGTTCTGCCCTCATCGCATTGAGAACAGGAGCTGCATGGAAGCTTTTGGCAAATTAGCATGTTATTTTCGAAAGGGTGAATCTTTTTTGCTGCTTTTGGGGCGTTTGCTTGAGAAGGCTTCCATCAATAAGCTCACCAGCTAGGTTAATTATCGAACAACAAGCTACAAAGATTACCATATTCTCTATTGCACCAACTCTTTTTACAAGTATGCAGTCAGGATCACGAGCCATCGACGACGACCGTCATTTTTAGATCCACTCGGATTGAAGCAAGTCGGAGCACACGAGCTCAACATTCTAGTTAAGTACAAAAGTAAAAATCCATCCAGACAAACCATCAATAAGCGCGTTAGGGAGCTCGTCGACGTCGTAAATCTCTCCGGCAAAGTTAGAAATTTGTAAATGGGGTGGGGGAGAGAAGCGTAATTTGACGATCCACGACTTAAAAAACCGAAATCGGCACGTGATGTTTGAATGTTGGGAACATCGGAAAGAGGAGAAGTCGTGGCCAGATATGATGATGTCAGTGACAACATGTGATGGGCATCATAATCATCCCCCCTCTCACACATCCCCCCATTCGAGGTTTAATCTCCTAATAATAACAAGACCCCCTTTTTGTACCTAAGCGCAAAAATTAAAATACTAATTAATAATAATAATTAAGCTAAGTTCTCAAAGATGGGTAAGTGCTTTCAAAGATCTGACAAATTCTTTTCACACCGCCTCCCGTTCGGGGTGCATTGGTTCGTGGGTGTCAAAACGGAGGGGAAAGGAACAAAGGAATATGTGTTTTTATCTTTGGCATAATTGTTAAGAGGCGATTAATTAATGTGATTAGGGTTTTGATTTAGTGGCGACCCTAGGACGCGCTTGTTTCTTCATTGAGATCTGAGTTCGGAGGGATCAAAGCTTTTGAGAGAATAGGGTATATATAAATTAATCATGGTCTTCAACAAATCTTTGAATTATGGTCTGTCCAACATGTGGGTGCCACCTTTGCAAAGTTTTACCAAGTCAAGGGAAATCAAATTTGACCAAAAAAGATCTAAAAAAAGAAGTTGACTCTGGTAAAAAAGTGAGGGACAAAGAAAAGAACATAATCACTAGTCAAGATGGGCAGTTACTTCGAGACAATCAAGACCTCTCTTTTTAGGATACTAAAATATGATCAAGTTCATAGGG